ACCCATTGGTATAGGGTTTGATTTCCCCTGTGTAGACTTTGCCATTCTGACCTCTGTCAGCATATTCCACTTTGAATTTGATGGTTTCGTACCACGAAGGGCATTTGAAAATTTCATAGAAACTTTCATCCGTAGGTACATGGTAACCCGATAAAATAGGCAACCGATGACGGGAACCCACAGGAACAACCGAGTCCTCCGCACGATTCCGTGCAGTAGGTTATCCCTGTGAAGTTATTCGCGACATCGAGTTCTTTGACAAGTGAGTCAGGTGAAACCCCTGCGCACTTGAGGCCAACGCAAGATCCTTTGTGTGGGCACCTTTTGCTGTATTGAACCTGGGTTCGAGTATCTTGAGTAAAGTAAAGCGTTTCCTTTTGGCACCTTAATATCATTTCTTGCATAGTAATTTTCATCATATGCGTTTGAAAATCTTCATGTTTGACTTGCAAACAGAGTTCTGATTGCATACTATTGAATTTCGCTATTACTGTTGTGTGGTTATCACATGTCTCACCTCTACATTGGGCAATGGTCGAAGGTATAAGTGATACCTGCTCACACCCCTGAACGATGCCTTGACAAAGGGAGAGTATAGTCAAGAGACGTATAATTGTGGAGGTTTTCCACTTTCTGTTGGTGTCATTATTTATTTCTATTAAGGGGATACACTCTGCTGATGGCTTCCGTTGAAACTGTCTTCTTGAAAAGCAGCGTTTCACTATATTGAGTTTATTCCAAGCGTTTTTACAACCTCTGCATAGTCCGCTAATTGTGCGAAGCAAGAGATACACCGTTATTAGGATTACGTAGAGGAGAGCAGTGGCGAGCATAATTGCTAACCGAGGCCAACATTCGGGATTCGTGACCATCGGTGAGCAAAATGTACAATCGATCTGCTCACAAAAGGGACTCGGTGAACAAGCCCAGTGAAATGCTTGCGTTGAATTTCCTATTAAACTTTTGACAAGTACGTGGTAAGAGTGCAGCGTGATTTCCGCAGGAAATTGAACTCTTATGGTTTGATCTGGATTCTCTATTTCTAGGCAGTAATCATTACCACATACGTGTATTTTATCTTGAACCTGTGGCATTTGAATTACTACTCCTCCTTTCGTGCATTGAACTACGCTCTCTATCCTCTCTTTGTCTCCTTTCGATTGCGTGCTTGTGCAAAGGCTCGCTATCAATGCGAGCATGAGCCAACGCTGCCACAATGTTATTGATCGATTTGCAATCGCTTGCGTTTGCACGGCGTTCACGCAATAGTTTACTCGTTCTTTTGTGCGCCGTGGCAGCCATGGCCGCGTTCGTTTTGTTGCATCGTTGGATTGCGGGGCCATCACCTCACAATTTGTATCATTGACGAATTCCTGTGGTACCTCCGCCGGTGCCTCGTTTTGTTTTGATCTTGCTTCGTCATGTTCTTGAAGATGCAGGTCTGTTCCCTCTATTTCTAGCGGGATGAGTAAATTTATTGATCTTGCGACATTGGATTTTGCTGTCTTCAACTCAACGGATCTAACTTCGCCGTCTGGATCATTAATAAGTTTCGTTACCAAACCAAGAGGCCATTCTCCCCGTGGTTTACTTTCATCCATCACAAGGACAACTTCACCAAGGTGAGGTTGCTTCCTTGTGAAGCTCTTTTGATTTATCCGGGTTTGATGGAAGTTCCGTAGTTCTAACAAGTAATTGTCAGTCCAGAACTCCCACAACTTTTGCAAATAACCCAGATGTTTCTGAAAAAGTTGAATTGTTTCTTCTTTCGTTGAATATTTCGTAAAGTATTCGGCATCTTCTCCCTCTTGATCGGCCGAAGGCAAAAGGTTTACATTCGCATATGGTATGATGAAGTCGATTGGTCTAAGAATAACCGAGTCCTCAACTGTACTACCAGAGTATGTGAGCGGTCTCGAGTTGACCATAGCTTCACATTCTGGTATGACAGTAGTGAACTCATTTTCATGTATGGATTTCTTTCGTGTTATTCTTTTGAGAGTGGACTTCATTACTCCTACCATACGTTCATAAAATCCCCCTTTCCATGGAGATAGTGGTGTAATGAATTTCCATTTGATTCCTTCGTTTGAAAGGTAATTTTGAATTGTTTGAGCAGCAATTTCAGTCCGATCGCTTAAGGTTTCAATAATTTCACGTCCCAATACGAAATTTGTCGCATTGTCAGAAATTATGAGTTTTGGTTTACCTCTTCGCGCTACAAATCGCCGTAAACCATTTATGAATTCCGCCGCACTTAAGTTTTTGACAATCTCCAAATGTATGGCTCTTGTGACCATGCATGTTGAGAGCAAGATCCATCTCTTTTGTTCTCCGTTTTCGCCGCTGAGCACACAGAATGGGCCTGCGAGGTCGATGCCGACATGCAAAAATGGGCGCGATGGTTCTGTCCGTGCTTGCGGTAACGGCGGAGAATTCGGATAAAAGAATGGCTTTGAATTCCATTTCTTGCAGATCAGACACATTCTCAAACATTTTTTGACTGTTTGTCGCCCCTTGGGGATCCAGTAATTCAATCTTAAATTGGCCAATGTTCCATTAGTGCCTTGATGTCCGCACCGATGGTGGATCTCTTTGATGATCAAGATGGTGAAGTTATGATTTTCTGGGAGGAGGATGGGCTCTTGAGTTTCCTTTGCCAAGTGTTTGGCTTGAATTCTTCCTCTACACCTTATTATTCCAGTTTCGTCCGTGTATAATTGTAAGTTATTGAGTTTCGCGAGATAATCTGCCGACAACCCACTCTGTGCTTTTTTAATTAGCACTCTTTCAGCCATTGAAAGATCAATGGGTTGCAGTGACGCCAGCGGTGTTTCGGCTGTTACGTGCTCAATTTCAGGTATGGCATTCTTCAATATTATTTTATTTTCATCTGAAATTTTGTTGTAAAGGACATGTTTGAGGAACTTTAGAATCAGAGATAGGATTCTTTTATACTTTTTGATTGACGAAAATTCTTTTGGGAACAATTTTGAATTGAGATTTGTGTCAGACTTTGCCACACATACCGTTTGCATCGGTTGATGTGGCCCTATTTCCTCGCCACTTTCATTTTTCGTCCACGAATATTGAGGAAATTTCGGCCATTTTGAATAGTCATCAAGTAGGAATGGGGGACCAGTCCACCACATGTGGTTAGCTAATTGGTCCTTTGTTAAACCCTTTGTTGCGCAGTCCGCTGGATTCATTTCGGACGGTATGTACTGCAAATGGCATACAATACCCTTATTTGACCAGTTCTGCATTTTATCTCTGATTTCCCTGCAGCGATTGTCGACAAAGATGCCGTTTTTATTATTTGATTGGACCCAGTTGAGAGCTACCTGTGAGTCACTTGAAATGTAAATTTCTTTTATGGGTAAGCGTATTTCTTGAAGTATGAAATTCGTTAAGCGAGTTCCAATCAAAAGTGCAAGAAGCTCCAATCGCGGTATCGTTGTTGATTTTGCGCCCTTGTTGATAGGAGCTAACCGTTGCCTTGCCATGAGCAACTGGCTGTGGATCGTCCCGCTGACATCGATCGTTCGTAAATAGGCCGCAGCGGCGAACGAACGTGCCGATGCGTCGACGAACGTGAGAAGCTCATACCGATTGTCTGCGGCAGAGTTCGTAACCACGCGAGGGACCGTCACATCGGCTCCCGCCGCATGCTCACAAATCGAGCGCCATTCTTCGTTGAGTTCGATAGGCAATACTTCGTCCCACTTGTAGTCACGTTTCCATAAGTCTTGAAGAAAGAGCTTTGCGGGTAACAACAAGGGTACGAGCAGTCCTAGCGGATCAAAAGTTGAATGTGCTGTTTGTAGCACTTTGCGCTTCGTTAGTGTTGATGAGTATTGAAGTTTACATTTGATCAGAAACGAATCCTTCTGATTATCCCACGGGATTCCTAGAATCTTTGTTGATTTACTAGTTGACAAATCGGAGGCTGCTATTGATTTGTTACAAGTCTCATCATTGGTTATGAATTGACGTAAGTTCATAGCCATATTGTTGAACACTGTCTTGCACCATCGGTACTTTTCAATGAGGGACTGCGTCGAGTCATCTGTGAGGAGAACATTGTCCACGTAGAGATTGTCGTTGAGTTGTCTTTTGAAGTCCTCGTTGATATTGGATTGCTTCTCTACCCCGTACTTGATCGAGATTCCCAGCAAGAAGGGTGAAGCATTTATCCCGAATGGAAGTCTACAGAATCGTAGTATTCTTATGTTGTCTGGAGTTGGAGGTCTTGAGTTGTCTTGAAGCCACAAGAATCGAACGGCATCTCTTTCCGATTCCTGTAAGTGTATCATATGGAATGCCTTTTCGACATCCGCAATCATTATTTTGGACCCTATTCGCGACCTTATAAGGACTCCACACAAGATTGGGTAGTATGAGGGGTCCTTGATAGATTACATCATTGAGGCTTAATTCACCTTTCATTTTTGAAGATGCGTCAAGGACAATGCGTGTCTTTGTTGTGACGCTTTCCGATTTGATAACTGCTTGATGTGGGATATAGTAACATGGCGTGTCACTATTTGGTTGAGGCCGAGGCGCGTCTTCGATGAAATTTTTCTTGAGTTGCTCCTCAATTATATTACAGTAGTCATTCCAACATTGAGGATTGCGTTCTTTCATTTTGAATAATTGATGAAGTCTACTCAAAGCGAGATTGTAATTGCTGGTGAGGCATTTCTTGTTTGGTTTCCAGGGAAACCGTACAAATATTTTACCATCCTTAATTTGAACTGAGGAGTAGAAGTCTGACACAATCTGGTTATTGATTTCTTCGTCCGTGGTCGTGTCTTCGATACCAATGGTGTTCAGTTTCCACAGAGCTGTTATGTCCATGTCGTTCTTACTTGAATCGAGCACTGTGCATGATTGAACAAGCTGGCTACAGACATTGCCTATTTCAGGTTTCTGTGCACCGCAATGGGGAACACCCGATATTACCGGGCCGAAGAAGGTCGGTGTGAGGAAGAGTCCCGATGGGAGCCGAACAACAGGTTCGTTCAATTTCATTATGGCATTGAAGTAGTCCATTCCAATTAGTATTTCCGGTACTACTGTGCCATCGATTGTATGTAAAATTGTTTGCAGGTGCAGCTCTTCGTCCGCGAAATTGTCTTGAATGAAGGCGACGTCTTGAGGGAGCACCGACCCTACTTGAAGAGGAGGTGTGATTTTATCATGTGTTAACAATTCAGCTTCAATAAAATCTCCTTCCGCATTGAAGAGGGGGACAATTACTCGTTTTACCTTCCTTTTTTCTGCCCTTCCTCCGAAGGTGTTTACCACCACAGTGGTTTCGCTATGAATTTTCAAGTTCATTCTTTGTGCGAGCGATGTTGAAATGAAGGATTGATCAGAGGCCGAATCCAGGATAGCAAACACTGTCTCTTTGTCCTGGCCTTTCATAAGTTGTAATTGAACTGGAACAATCATTAGGCGTACGCTGTTGCTACTCGCGAAGGCAGTTGTAAGTTCATCCTCAACATGTTCTTTTGGGGTACGCTCTTGAACTTGTAAGTTGACTGTGATATTTTCCAAGGATCTTCTTCGAGGTTGAGGAGATTGACTGAATCGGACTTGACGTTCTGGCGTTCTTGAAGGCGAGGGGGAATGTCGAGGTGTGGCTGTTCTGAGCGAGGTCCTTGATGGTGGTCTCGGCGATGACCGTTGCGAGAATCTCGACGATGACCGCTGCGGGGACTGGTTATTTTGAAAGCGATTGAAGGTTTTATTTCGATATATTGGTCTATTTGGTGAGTAGCTTCTGCTTTTGAAGAATCTGTTTGAAGAGTGACTTCGGTGTCTCGGTTGGTTGAAATATTGTTCACGTTCTCTCTGAACTGGTGAATTGTATCTTCCTCGGGGGATATTGGCATACCCGTCCTGTTGATATTGTTGACTTTGACGACAAAGGGTAAAATTATGTGGGCCTCCGCATTGAGCACAATTCTGCTTACGACAGAATTGAGTACGGTGTCTCAGGCTGAAACACTTCCAACAGGCGTTCAGTTCGCGTAGGCGTCCAATCTTCTGCATTGTGCTTGAGTACTTATTACAGTACTGGAACTTGTGTTGTTGACCGCAACCCGTACAGCGCACTCTAGGTGCGACGGTTGTCCTTGTATGGAGAGTTGAGCGTTCGCTTTGATACGTTTCTCTTACGCTTTCGACATGCTCCTTACGCTTTACTGCTATGGTCAGGTTCTCGATGAGATCCGTCATACTCCATAGACTTCCTGAATCGAATTCTTTTCTAGCCATTTCCTCTTGAACATTTTTTGAAAAGGTTTCAAGTACCATAGTTCTCATGTTTGTGGTGTTAACGGCTTCACCTTGTTTCTCCAATGTTGCTATTATAGCCTGAATGTCACTAAGATTGTTTCTTAGAGAACGGTGGTCATCTTGACACTGCTTCATTGATTTGAGTTTTCGTATCATTTGCATTGTCACTCTTCTTGGATCTTGATATTGACTTTTTAATTGGTTGATTGCTTTCTCGTAGGACTCCCCCGTTCTTGGTATCATTTGAAGGGTTCTTGCTGCATCCCCTTTGCAGCAATTGATGAGGATGGACAGCTTTTCAATGTTTGAATAAGGTTGATGATGAACAAGCTCTTCGAACATTCCCAGAAGGAGTCAAACTCCGAGGGAGTGCCATAGAAGTTTGGCACTTTAAGTTCGTTTCCCAAGAGCCTTCTTTCTAGTGCCCATGGGCTTGATGGAGGGAGTTGTTGGAGGAATTGTGAAGGCTGGTATTGGTTTGAATCTCTTCGGCCTCCCTCCCTTGAGAGTTCATGTTTCGAGCTTGCCTCTTGACATTGAAGTTCCAGTAACCTCCTTTCTAATTGACGTTCCAGTTCAGCAGCTTGATGCAGTAGGATCTCACCCTTTCTTTCGGACCAGTATTCATCAAACTGGTCTTCTGTTTCTACTTTGAGTTCTTGAGTAAGATCGTGGATTGTGCTATTACATTCCGCGTAGTATGCCACGATATCTTCTCTGCGTTGTTGCATCTTTGAAATCAAGTTCTTGATGATCATGTTTTTTGAAATCAGGAAGATGTCTAACGCCTGGGCTTCTGTGGGAAAAGTCCATGGAGCCTCAAACGCGTTCGCTTCCTGCATCAGGCTCGTTAGAGCATTGAGTTGTCTAGTCAATTTTTGCTTAGCATTCTTCAGGATGAACGTCGGCTGGGACATTCCGGAGCTGGGTATAGATGCACTGCGTATCGTCCGTTGGAGCACGATAGGTATGAATACCGTCGATGAAGACTGCCAGGGCTTCGGGTATATATGCGGTATTGTTCTTATCTTTTGTTCATCTGAATAAACTTCTTTTATGTGTTGTGGCGGTTTGTTTTGAGAACGTGTGCAGTCTTGAGCGAATGAGATTGAATGTTTTGAGAAGTTGTGATCTCAAGGTTTTCTTGCTTTCAAAGCGTTGAACTTTTTCTTGATGTTTTGAGAAGATGGGACCTGATTTCATCTGCGGAATGTTTCAGAATGCTGCGGTCTTTGATTCTTCTCTTTCTAGTCTAGAAATCCTCTCTTGAGATCACGAGACATCTAACTCAGTTTCCTATGAGTTTTTTGCTCAGAAGCGGGTTTTGAAGTGGTAAGAGTTTGAAAGACACTGAATTGCGTTTCGGTTCAAGGCTTGTTATAGTTGAGGCGTTGAAAAGAATTAGTACAATTATAGAGTCTGTGTTATTCTATCGTTAAGGAAAAACATGAAATTGTGATGAGTTTCGAATTTACAGGAGTTTCCGTTTACTGAATAGTTCTCCCTCAAGTTGGCACGATCTCGGTCGTTTTCCCGAGTATTACATAGTTAATAGCAGAAGAAGCATTAAGGGAGGAAACGAGCAGATAACTTTTCTATAATTCGACGATGTGATTCACATAATTGTTGGGAAGAAAGAATATATATACAAGAAATTGCCGGCTATAAATGAAACGTAAGGTACCTTTTCGCTTGGCCAGACTATCGGACTGCCACCGGGATTTCTTTCGAGTTGCCTTCTCATCGTAACTGTCGTCACCGCGGTAAAATATAGTCGACTTGAACGCTCGAAATTGAAAGAAGGAAAATTGAATGAAAAAAGGAAGGGAAAAATGAGATCACGAAAATTCAAATATCGCGTGCTAGGGTACCGATCAAGATACGCGATTTGGGCCCTAAAAGCGTACCTTTCAAAAACAAGGTGCACGTGTATTAGAATTTTCGTTTGATAGCGTCAGAGATTCTCTTGCAAATAATAGTGTTACCCGTTTGTTTCAGAATTTTTTGAAATTGAGCAGTTTTTTTTTGTGATGAAGCTTGGAGTCCTAAGGATATCCTACCCTTTCACGTAAGGGTTATTTGATATGTAATAGTTTGAGGTTAATCGATATCGTAGTTGAGTGGAGCTTTATGGGTTGGGCCGATGCACCATATTTTGGGGCATCACTCCCAAATGTAGGATTTGGTGGTTCTTCTGTGAATACCATTCTTTCAACCTTATTTATTATAAACTATAATCGAACCAGCGAGCCAAAATCTCAATGACATCAAATATAAGGGTTTACGTTGAGATTTGAGTTGAGAGCTTTAAATTTAGGTTTTGCCGTGAAGGGCTTTAAACTTCTTGAACCTTAAAGAGCCCACGTTCCTCGCGAGTCCGCCAACCGTCCTATTTTTTGTCCGGCTTCCTTTTCAGCACACGGGACAAAGGACTTCAGCCCCTCTCGGCCGTGCGGCTAGGGTTCCGACAGAACAACATCAAGACAGAATTGATGGGTAATCGCTGCCAGCGAACGGGCCTGTAGAGCTGCCCGCGTCGCGAGCGCAGAATCCCACCGAAGGCGATCCCGTCGCCGCCTTCCGCGCTCTTATTATCCTCTGGGGGCGGGGCAAAGTGACATCATGAACATGACATGTTCATGACACTCCCCGCGCAAAAGGAAACAGTCCGTACAGACGGGTTTCGCTTTGTTTTGCATCCTCCCCACGGAACGTTAGGATTGAATAGAAAATCGATCTTGAAATCGAACTTTGAAGGAGTTCAATTTTGATATTATTAGCGCACGTGAAACTACAACGCAAAATGAGATTATACAAAATGTCTAACACATTTCGAACTACAAAGTATCACTACTACATATCTGTACGATTTCCTTCAAGTCGTTTCCATGTCGTGTCGCAATCGGAATAGTCACGAAGTCGTTACCATCACCCGGAAGATCCTCGCGTTTCCAACTTTGACTTTATTATTCTGCCTTTTGAGTACTTTTTTTTTCGGATTTTATTTGAATTGAAACACCTTTCGGCTGCTCAAAGGGATTTTATGTATTAGATGTGACTTTCATTGACTTCTACAGCCAAGGAAAATGTTTTATTGATTTCGATATTTTGAAATCGAACAATCAGCAATCTACCAACGATATTGGATTAAGTGAAACGAAATCGACCGATAACATTGAACCAAATCTACCAAACGTCAAGCGAATGAAAGAAGGGGTTTAAAAGGGCTGTTAAGCGATTGAACTTGAACAGATGTTGAGGGTTGAAAAGTTGAATTAATTTGAAGTTGAGGAAATTGACAGTAACTTCGAAACATTGGATTGAAAACTCGAAAAACTTGAGGATTTGAGATTTGAAGAGTTGAAAACGATAAATTCAGATAGGTTGAAATTTCACAACTTGATTGAATTGAGCATTGAAATTTGAGGAATTGAAAGAATACACTTGAGATTGAAAAATTGAAGACATTGAAAGCGAGGAATTGAAAAAATACACTTGAGATTGAAAAATTGAAGACATTGAAAGCGAGGAATTGAAAAAATACACTTGAGATTGAAAAATTGAAGACATTGAAAGCGAGGAATTGAAAAAATACACTTGAGATTGAAAAATTGAAGACATTGAAAGCGAGGAATTGAAAAAATACACTTGAGAT